CTTTATAGAATTCACATACAATAGACTTGGGATCAACACCTGCTCATGCGTTGAAAACCATGTGATCAATAAACTTCAAGCAATGACAATCACCAATGGCAGAGAACAAATTATGGGATATTACCAACAGGCACTTTGGGTTGACTAACAGCAATCTTGAACAAATCACTCAACTCCTTCTCCTAAGCCTTCTCTTCCTCTTTCTTTTTCTGTAAATCGAATAAAACTCTTGAGCAAAACTAACACTTTGACTGGAATACTTCATTAGAAGGCAGGGAAATGGTTGCATGGAGGAAGGCGAACCTTGGCGGCGACCTTAGTAGCGTCGGGCTTGGGCTGTACGGACTGCTTGAGGCTCTGGACATATTTCTGGACATTTTTACTCTTGTTCTTGTTCTTAAGACCGAAGGTCTTGTCTTCTACGATCTTCTGCTTCTTCGCTAATTCTGCTTTCGAGGGTTGCTTCGGCGGCATCTCTTATCACCATCAAAAACCTCCCTTCTCCGTTCAAATCAATTAACGATCTCTGTTCCACGATTGATTATTGCCAGGGTTTCAAATTCGACCGCCGTCGTTCCGGTGCCGGAGAAGAAGATGATTTTGAGGGGCTGCGATCAGGTGTGTTAGTCTTTATGGACCCGACTGGATCCAAATTCCAGAACGTACTTTGACTGCATAAATTGTCGAAAATGTCCTCAGTGATGTTTTACGTGGCAGATTTTCAGACATCAGTTCTGGTCTATCCATTGAAATTCTCCGGTTCTTGCTAAACTAGTGCTGGCATTTTTTAGAGTGAATTCACATTAATACCCTTATACTTTTTTTTTTTAATTTATAAGTTTAGTATTTTGGAATTCGGATGGCAAGCATTGGAAAGAGGGGTCCTTGGGTTTTTTTTTTTATTAACTTTTTAATATTTAATAATTATATTAGGTTTCAATTATTTTGAAATTGAATCATATTGGACTTTATTTAGGGTAGTTCTTTCAGTTTTTTTTTTTTTTTCATAGAACTCGAATTCGAGATTTTATTTAAATTAGTGCTGGTATTCTTGAGAGTGAATTCACATTAATACCCTTATACTTTTTTTTTTTAATTTATAAGTTTAGTATTTTGGAATTCGGATGGCAAGCATTGGAAAGAGGGGTCCTTGGGTTTTTTTTTTTTATTAACTTCTTAATATCTAATAATTATATTGGATCTCAACTAATTTGAAATTGAGTCATATTGGACTTCATTTACGGAAGCTCTTCCAGTTTTTGTTTCTTTATTCATAAGACTCGAACTCGAGATTTTATTTAAGTAAAACTAATATTCTTTTATTCGAATCAACATGTAGTTGATTTATTAAGTTAAGGGTCTCCTTGCCCTCTTAATTCAATAGTTGTCCCCCAAGCCCTCCTAGTTCCGTGAGTGTGGAATGCAAAATATTTTTTTAATTCTATACTAGAGAATTTTTTTATTAGTATTTTTTTATTAAATTTTTTAGTATTTAAAGATACTCTGGATCTTAATTAAGATATAATCAAATTGCATCAGATTTTATATGTCAAAAAATTCTCTCACAACTCTTTTTTTTTTTTTTCATTCATAAAATTTTAATTTGAAATTTTATTTAAAAAAAAAAAACTGAATTCCTTTTACTTAGAATTAGAAGTTCTTGTCCCTTCGAGTACATCTGATAAAATCAGAGCGTAGAACTAGAAGTTCTTATTATTATTATTTTTTTGTTAACAATTTTATAAGATTAGTTTGGATTAGGAATGGCAACTGGATCCTGCAACCTCCTATCCCCCAAGGATTTTTGATAGAGGGCAAAAAATGCCCTCTATCCTTATACTTGGAGGGAACGAAGGATTCTTGTAGGGATCTTTATACCATGGAAAGTATATAAAAATATTTTTTTGTTTGATTTTATATAAAAATAAATTGATTCATTCAATTCTTAATTTTAAAAAAGGTTTCAATGTATTTTAGAAAAAAAATAGCTGTTTTTTAAAAATTGAATAAAATGAAATAAGGTAAACTTTGTAAAAAAAAATTAATAAAATTTGTAAAAAAAATTAATAAAATAAGTTAAGTTCAAATTAAAAGAAACCTATTAAACAAAGAAATACAGTCAAGAGGAACTAAGGTAACAGAGAGAACAAATAAGAGAGTTAAAGTGTTTATAACTAAGATTTGTAGGTTTAAAAATTAAGATATTTAAATTTATTATATTACAATTCTTTACAGAGAACCACAGGTATGAGAAAATTCCTATAAAATTTTACAAAGAAAAGTTACCTCCACTCCCACCTTGAAATTATTTATTTATTTATTTTTTCATTTCAGTCTCGCACGGTTATCTCCACAAAGCTCCACAGTTGTTGGAGGGACTTGCCATCCCTGCAACTCCATGGCACTTTATGATTATTGGCGAAATCTAATGT